GCTAACTTGATTCCCCTTCCAATGTTACTAAAGAACATATTAGCCTTAACTTTTTAAGATGAAAAGAAATTGAAAATCTTAATAAAGCTGCTATGGTATATCAATGTCTATGTATAGTTCACAAATAGGAAAATATAAAAGCTGTCTCCTCTTCATGTCCTCAACTGATAGTGTCAAATATATTATTCATAATAAAGATATATGCATCCATAATGGTTAGTAGCCATTAATAGCCTAAACCAGAAGCAATAGATCTACAGCCTTCTTTTTCTGGCCTTCGGGTTCCTCTGGGGCGACTGCTGCAAATTCAAAGTATAATTTTCTGTTTTGAAAAAAATACTGTACTGTACAAATATTTGTTTATAAAAAGAAAAACTCCTTCCAAAACTAGTTGTATTGTGCTCCTACCCACTTGCGAGTCTTCAGCTTCTTCCGAATGCTAAATCCCTGATCAACAAAAGGCCATCCAGCCCAGGCTTAGTTCATCAGTAGTCACCATCAGTACATTTTCTGACAGAAAACTCCATAGCACAGATTGTGCTTTCTTTTATTTTAGTAACAGTGACACTCACAGAAGGGAGAATCTTGTCTTTCTGTATTGAGCATATCTAAAGGTTTATGGACTTGCATATTTAAAGGAAAGTCTTTCAAATGCATCCTACACTGGATTTAGGGTTGAATTAAAGAGAATTCAGAATTAGCCAAGAGTCCCTCACAGCAAAATTTTTGAAATAGGGGCTAGTAGCATTCAATCTTCATGACAGTTTATTGAAAATAAACCATCAGGATGACTAAATCAAGTCTTTCAATACACAGAACAGAATAACATTGTACTTATCTAAGCTAGCCCAGCTAAATCAATTTCTCCTCAAAATCAGCAATGATCGCTATTTTTCCCCCTAGCCAAATAAGCCATTATCCCAACACTCTAGACTTCAGAACATTCAGAACAACACATTAGTGTTTTCATGTTTTCACAAAACGGAAAACAGCCTCTATTCAAAAGGCAATTCTAAAATCTTCAATATAAAGCTATGATCTTATTAATCTGCCAAGTTAAATCACCTAAAATTATCCAAAATATCTTCTAACTCATCTATAACTTCCTTAACAGCAAGAGATATTGTCCTATATTTAAAATATCAAGGAAGAGAACACTTCCTCAGAACACACCCAAAGCAAGTTTCAGTCAAGGAAACAGAATAAAACCATTGGTTCTAAAGGACTGAATCCACATCAGAAAACTGAAGACAGGATCATATGCAGAGCTATATATTACTTAAAGACCATTCAACAATTGCCAGTCATATGTTATTCCCATGCTATAGACTACACATTCTTGGAGCTGTGGCCAGATCATATTCCTTTCAGGAGTGGAGCGAAGGTTTTTCTTTTTAGTCATGTCTTCAATTAAAATCCCCTTCAAGTCAAACTCAAACTTCTGGTGATTTCATGGACCTGTTTGTGCTGTTTTCTTGGCAACAGTTTAAAAAAAAAAAGGGAGGCTTCCGGGACTACAATCTACAATCATGGCATTAAAATCAGTTTCTATGACTTTGATTCTGAAATTTCAAGTGTTTATTTTGTATTGGCAGTCACTTTGAAAATCATCTGGGGAGAACAATGAAACAAAAATAGCAAAGTAAGTAATAAAACCTCAATACATTTCTCAGGATGTCTTTAAAAACTTTATATCTTTCAGCAAAAAGAGTTTCTTTATAACAGCTGTAAAGAATAGAATAGAATAGAATTCTTTATTGACCAAGTATGATTGGACACACAAGGAAAGCACATAATTTTCAGTCAAATTCCTTAATTCAAGTCCCATTATCGATTGGTAAGGTTGGAAAAAGACATCCTAGCAATCAAAACAGACAATTGACAGCTAGCTAGACATACAAGCGTTTACATAAAGGCAAAAGCCTCAGATTCCTAAACAAGAAAATAGCAGATTGAAATGCTGCCTGGAATACCTTGATTATAAACAGAGAGGCACTTCACCCCAAACCTACCACAATATTTAAAATAACTACTACTGCTTCTCCTGTCTTGACTCTTCCAGATCTATGGAAAAAGGGGGCAACTGTCTTGAGTCCTAAAAACCACTTATGACTAGTCAAATCTCAACTTCCACACTATGCGACCCAACTGGCCCTCTCACAAGTCTTTGACAGCTGTTCCATCTACAAACCTCTGCAGCGTGGATCCCAGAACGAGACACCCAGAGCTCTGGGGAAAGGGAACTTTTTCTACAGCCCCAGCCTCCTCAGGATCGCTCTCTTTTGTGCAAGGCCTCCGAAAGGCGCCAGCTTCGAGCCAGCCAGAGACGGTGGGGAACGCAACGCACAGGCTTCGGTCACCTACCTCTTCCCGCCTCTTCTGCCAACGGCCGCAAGGGGATTCCTCCAAGATTTCGGACTCGTCTTCGGACTCGTCCTCTTCTTCCTCCTCTTCCTCCTCCTCTTGAGCGGCCGTCGCTAGCGGCGGCGAAAGGGAGGTCATGCCGGATCCCGCAGACGCAGCCTCGGGTTTCTGGTCGGAACCGATATTGCCGGATACTTGCTTGGTTTCGCCCTCGGACATCGCCGCGACGGAGGAGGCGACCTACACGTTGGAAGAGAAGAGAGACTTCTCTCAAGAGGAGGGCAGGCGGGGCGGAGGCCGTTCGTGACGCAGCACCAGGACGACGCGCTTCCGCCAGAGTTACGCAGGCCCGCCCCCCCCCCGCAGCGCGCGGGGCAAACGGGGGAAGCCGCCGGCCCCTCACGCTCCGCCAACCCGGCGGGACAAGGCCTCGGCGCGTACATGGCTATCACCCCGGCGACGGGAGACCGCTGTCCCCGGCCACACGACAACCCAAAAGCAGAACTCACCGGGGCGCAGGCCAACCTCCGCCACAGCTCACAACCTGAAGCCGACTAAATAGCCGACAAGCCGCGCTGCGACGGGAGGCGCTCCAAGGGACGGCGGAGGCAGGGTTTAGACCAGCCAATAAGAAGCCGTCCTGCGCAATGGAAGACGCGTTCGGATTGGACGGAGTGCTTGCAAGGCGGGCCCCGCGGCTGTTCTCATTCAACTCCAGCTGTCTGCCCAGCTCCGGTGGGACAAGGCGACAGGGCGGGGCCTTTTATGGCTGCAGAGAATGGAACGAGATATCCCTGCGCACGTTGATGCTTTTGAGTGCGCGGTGCTTGCGTGACCCACAAGCAGCCCGCGTAGAGTTGTTCTGTTATTTCCGAGCGGTCTGGGGAGAAAGTGCGAGAAAGTCTGCTTTCTGATCGCTGCGTGAAGCAAAGGGAGAATTGGCTGCGGCTTAGCTCCTCTTAAATCAGGGGTCTCCAACCTTGGCAACTTGACAACTTTAAGCCTGGAGGACTTCAACTCCCAGAATTCCCCAGCCCTTGATAATAGTTTTGAACATTGGTAATGGAGCAGAAAACTTACCCACGAATTAACAGCTGGTTCGTACATAGCCTGAACATAGTCATAGTACGCTGAATCATAGTTGACTTAACTAAATCACAGTTTTGCTGGCATTGGCCGAAAACTACACAAACCTTGACGTATGGGTTTATCTGAGGTGTTAGCTAAATAAGTTAGCATATCAGAACTTTCCTAATTAAGCCTCTAATTCTCCAGGTGCTGGCACTGAGATATACATTATCCCCACCTGGTGGTTGTCATTTTGGTTAATAGGCAGTATCATGAATTTGTGTAATCCCTATCTAAAGCCATCAAAACTGGTTCGATTGCTACAAGTGTACAGACTAAAGCAGGGGTGTCAAACTCAAGACCTGGGGACTGGATCCAGCCCGTGGGGTACTTAGATCTGGCCCACAGGGCCGCCCTGGAAACAGCAAAAGACCGACCCACGGTGCTTCTGCCAGCAAAAACGGGCTTCTGAGCTCCGTTTTCCCTGGCAGAGCGCTTGGGCCACCACAGGCGCCCTCAACAGGAGTGATGTCAAGCTGGCCACATCCACCAAGGTCCCCTGAAGTCAAACACAACCCTTATGCAGCCCTCAATTAAATCAAGTTTGACACCCCTGGTCTAAAGTCACCCAGTCAGTTTCCACAGTTGACTGTAGACTTGAAATTGAGTCTCCATTTTTTATTACAAGTATTTGCCATTAAATTGCTGCCAACTCTAGCAGCCACAGATTTTCTTCATGACTATCTTAACCACTCCATCACATTTTATTACCCTAACTCTATCCTTTTTGAGTTATAGTGGATACAATTGCACATACTCTTCTAATATAAGTGCACATAAAGTTGTGTAAAGATATTTATTGGCTGTTTGATTTTCTATTCCAAATGATTTTGAGCACAGAATATTTTCTTTCAAATTATATTTATTACCTTAAAATAGTTTATTAGTAAATGTGACTATATAATTTTCATAGCTTTTAACTGCCATTTCCCTAATATAGGGAATCTTTCATTTTGAACCCTTCTCTTTTTAGCGTACAGGTCCCTTAAATACATAATGTAATGTAATGTCTGTTAAGCAATCTGGCAAATTACCATCTTGATACTAGATTGACTATGCCACTGCCTCCTATTCCCCCTGCTTGAACTGATGGAAGTGGCTCTGTATTCAGTACTATTTTGAAAAAAGCACCTTTGGGACAACCATGACCTGAATGACAGAGAATCTCAGTCGCAGAATATTCAGTACCGTGGACTCGCGTAGGAAATGCAGTACTTGCAAAGAGTACCACTTCAGTAAATGGAAATAAAATACCTTCCAGGCCTTCCTCCTCCCCCCTTAGTTGCTGGGCAACCAGTGGTAAGCCCTTTCTTCCTCAATAGTCTATGATTTTGCAATATCCCGTCCGGTTTCCTCCCCTCCCACTCTCTCATTCATTCCCTTCTGTCCTTCTATTTCCCTCGCCCTCTCTAGCAACCGCTCTGCTCGGAAACGTCTTCCTTTTTTTTTTTTTTCCTATCATTCATCGGCCTCACATCCGGTTCCCGTGGTTCCTCGGCGGGGACTCTATGGTGTCTGTTTCCGGTCCCCAAATCGCCTTCCCTCTGTCGTTCGCTTTCAGTCTTTTGCCGCTCTTCCTTCTTCGGCTCGGCGGGGCCCGCGCCTGCCTTGCCATGGGTGCCTACCTGTCGCAGCCCAGCACGGCTAAGAGCTCCGGGGATGGTGTCGGCATTGGGCCGCGCCCGCTTCACTTCGGCTACAGCGCCATGCAGGGCTGGCGGGTCTCCATGGAGGTGAGGGCGGGACGGAGGGACTGAGGGCGGGAGAACGGTGTCTTGCTGGGCGATTCTGCCCTACGGGAGGCCGCAGCCTCGTTTCTTATGGCGGCTTTCAATGGGAAAAGCGCCCTGATTATTCTCAGGGCTAACGGCTAGGGATTCCCCCCCCCCCCCGTCATGGAGTCCCTTACACTGGCGGAGCTGTTGATAGTTCGGTGCCCCAGAGGACCGCTGCGCTCGTTATATCTGCCTGCTTTCTTGGCCTGAAACTACTGGGAGTTTCCAGAGCTTGGTCCGCTGTAGTCGCTGTTTCCCCCTTCACCCGTCCTTCTCTTTTTCAGGATGCTCACAACTGCATTCCCGATTTAGACAGTGAGACTGCAATGTTCTCTGTATACGATGGTCACGGAGGTAAGGGTTACCCAATAACAAAAGTGTCCACTCGTTTAAGGACATCTGTTGGGACCGGGCCTTTTCAGAAGGCTGTCTTGTGGATCTTTTACATACCCACACCACATTCATATGTTTCTAATTGAAACTGACTAGGGTGACCAGTTTACAGCTAGTCCTTAACTTACCACCACGATTAGACTCAAAAATTTCTGTTGTTAAGTGAGACATTTGTTAAGCGAATTTTGCCCCATTCTGCCTCAGTTGTTAAGGGAATCACTGCAGTTGATAAGTTAGTAACCCGATTGTTAAGGGAATCTGGCTTCCCCATTGACATTGCTTGTCAGAAGGTCGCAAAATTTATTTATTTATTTATTGGTTCGATTTATATGCCACCCTTCTCCGGAGACTCAGGGCGGCTTACAATGCGTTAAGCAATAGCCTTCATACTTTTGTATATACCTGCTTAGTAGGGCTTTTGCCCCCCCCCCCCAGCGGTGTTCTTTTTTATACAAAGTCAGCTTATTGCCCCCACAATCCGGATCCTCATTTTACCTACCTCAAAAGGATGGAAGGCTGAGTCAACCTTGAGCCTGGTGAGATTTGAACTTGCAGTAATTGCAGGCAGCTGGTGCTACTTAACAGCACTTTAGTCTGCTGCGCCACCAAGGGGATCATATGTTCTTGGGGCGCAACAACGGTCATAAATACAAATCAGTTGCCAAGCATCTGAATTTTGATCACGTGATCATGGGAATACCGGAAAGGTGGTAACTGAAAAATGGTCATAAATCACTTTTTTCAGTGCCGTAACTTGAACGAACTGTTCTAAGTCGAGGACTACCTGTATTATTACAACATTGCCTTTGTAGGGAGTTTTGATGGTAAGCCTGATTAACTTCTCTGGATTTTGTAAATGATGGATTTGTCAATGCTGGAGTCCTAACTCAATTCTAACTCCTGTGTGCCTAATAAATGGGTCTTTGAGTTATTTCGGTGCTACCCAATTTGTTCAGCTTGGGAATGCTAATACATATTTTCTCTGAAACAAACATGAGGTTACTTGTGAGATGAAACAAGAGACTGTCAGTTTCTAACTGTTGGCCTCTTTGCTGTAGGAGAAGAGGTAGCCTTGTATTGTGCCAAATACCTGCCAGAGATCATCAAGGATCAGAAAGCATATAAAGAAGGCAAATTACAAAAGGTAAGATAGAAAGGCTATCTTCCGAAACTATAGAAGAGCACACCAAAGAAGTACAGCTAATTCTGTGAAGGATTTCATTTTATGATTCCATTCCATCTTTCCCCAATCTTTGGCATCTTGATCCTTTTAAGATATTTTCTTTGACTATGTTGTAAAAAACCTAAATTGCTTCTTAAAAACTAGAGTTTAGCATAAATATGAGGCCAATTCTGGTTAGAAATTGGCTATTTTTTGTGCAACAACAGAAGAGAAAGTGACAGAAATCTTTTTGTCCACTGGTATCAATTGTGATGCGGTATAGTATTAACCTGTTTATTGGGGCTATTAAGAACTGTATCATACATCTTGAATAAGATGCTATTTAAATAGTTTCTAATATTAATGGTGGTCACAAAGAAATCCTCCTTTATTTTTTCTTATTAGGCACTTGAAGATGCTTTTTTGGCCATTGATGCCAAGTTGACAATGGAAGAAGTGATCAAGGAATTAGCACTGATGTCAGGGAGGTCTCGAGATGAGGGTGATGAGAAAGAGATGAAAGTGGCAGATGAAGATGATGGTGAGTGAAGCAGCAACTTGCAGTCCAGTGCAGATCAGAGGCAAAAGCCAAGTACCAGAAGGGGAGCTCTTACGTCAACTTTATATATAACAGATTAAATGCCTAAAGTGGAAGGATGTCTGAGATCACATTTCCTACGTTGTGTTAAATTTGACATAATTGACTATGCCAACTTTAAGAAAGAGCCTAGACAAAACCAGAGGTGGAGAACTAACAGTTCTAAGCCAGCATTGCTGGTGATTAGGGTAAAGGGAATTGTAATCCAGCATCATGTTTGCACTTACACACCCCAAACAGTTGCAGCTTGGTAAAAAGTTTATATGATTAGGAAAACTAGTGTTGGGCCCAGTTACAGTGATATGTGACTTTAGGACCGGCAATTTGTAGTGAGAAAAATGATTCCATCTGTATTTTAGTAGGTAGATTGATGTCATGTGTAAAACTCTGTTCCTTTAGTCATAATAAATGACTTTCCTGAGCTATGATTTTAAAAAGGTAGGTAACTGGATGTGACATTGAGACTGGCTGCACTTTCTCCCCCAATACTCCCATGCAGTGGACAATGAGGAGACTGCCTTGCTGCATGAGGAGGCTGCAATGACCATTGAGGAGCTTCTGACTCGATATGGGCAAAACTGTGTCAAGGGCAAGCTGGGCCCACCAGGCAAAGATGTAACCCAGGAGGATGCCCGGGAGCCAAGTTTGAATGGTGAAGTAGATGCGGAGGAGCCCTCAAGGCGTCATAAAGAGGGTGAAGAAGAGGAGAAAAATGGCAAATTGTGCTCTGAGACCATCAGTACCTCCCATGGTCCAGATGTGGCTGGTGGAGGGGATGCTGCTACTTGCCAAAAAAAGACAGCTGAGGGAGCATCTCCTGCCAGTGGTGAGATGGAGCCATCCTGCTCGTCTGCAAGCAAGAGCCAGCAAGTGATCAAGTCAATGTTCTTTGAGGACAGTGAGGATGAATCAGAGGATGCAGAAGAGGAGGAAGATGACGATAGTGAGGTACCATCATCATTTGGGCAATGGGGGGGAGGGGCATTTTGTCCTTCCATAGCTGAGCTGAAAAAGCAGAACTTAGTCTTCTTTACAGATGAAGGCTAAGAGGAAGGTACCCAGGTCCTGCATGCAGGACAGCAGCTAGAGCCATGGGGTCCATTTTATTTCTGTTACGGGTGGATGTATTACATTTTGATTAGGAATGCAGTGAGGATGAGGATAGCTACAGCAGTGAAGAAGAAGAATATGATACTGAAGAAGCAGAAGAGGAAGATGATGAAGACATGATGCTCCCAGGAATGGAGGGCAAAGAAAAGGTCAGTGTTTGTGAAGAAAGTGGGAAAGGAATAGGGGCACAGTGGTCCTTACTGAGATTTGCTGAGCTTCTTTTGCTCTTACCCTGGTTTGAGGCCCACTCTTTCAGTAAATCTTGTGCTTCAGCATGGGCTCTCCTCACAATTCTCTTACTCTCCAGCCTGGCTCAGACAGCGGCACAACGGCGGTAGTAGCACTTATCAGAGGCAAGCAGCTAATAGTAGCCAATGCTGGAGATTCCCGATGTGTGGTGTCTGAAGGTGGAAAGGCTGTGGATATGTCCTATGATCATAAACCCGAAGATGAGGTGGAATCGGCCAGAATAAAGAATGCTGGTGGAAAAGTAACCATGGATGGTCGGGTAAATGGTGGCCTCAATCTCTCCAGAGCAATTGGTGAGTAAACAGGTATGCATGTGCTAGAGTTATATGGCAACAGCCACTAGTGACAATGAACATAAAATCTCAGCCTTCAAATGACGAAAACATCACACATGCAATCTTTCAGTCTGCAGCCTCCTTTTCTCTGAAAAAGGAAGCTATTTCTTCTGACCTGGAGCTATTGAAGTGCCTTAAGTACAAAGGAAAAGGAATTATGTCATAGTATAAAGAAAATAGAACAATCGAAATATAGATTATAATGCTTCTTGTTTGCAAATCAAACTTTGGACTAATGGGATTCATTTTCAACAGTTGTCAAAAACCAGCTTTTGAAAACTCTAAAAGCAAAGGACTGACAACTTTTCCTATTGAATGTTCCAGCAACAATTAGAAACTTAGATCCATGCTGAACTTTAAAGCTGGCTTAATTGTGAACATGCCTATTCACAAGAATAGGCTTTAAACATGGTACATATGGTTGATGCCAACTGTGACTTGGCCAAAAAAATATAGCATAATGTGTGAATGTGGAATGTAGAGTGAAGCAAGAATTCGTTGCCAATAGTGAATCCTTTAATTAATCCTAAAAGTGGCTTAAATGTTGTAGATATGGTATTCTAGATCAGGGGTCTCCAACCCACAGGCCACAGCCTATTACCGGGCCATGGCTGATTTGGACGTGGGACACGTGAGCAGCTGGTCAGTGCATGCACTCATGCAGCTCATCTTACATGAGCAGCAGACCGACACGCGCATGTAACTCAACACATGTGAACAGTGGGCTAGCACACAAGCACTGGTCCAACACTTGCATGGACCACTTCACCCGCCAGGCCACCAAGCCATGAAGTTTGGGGACTAGATTAAATGGGTCTTTTAGCCAGCCCACCCACATTTGGGGGAGTTATTTTCAGGAGGATTTACTTTACTTTTTTGTTTGTCTATGGGAGCATGAAGCTCAAATTCTAGAATCTCCTCAATGAATATTTGTTATTAAGCCGGTTTGACTTGATCCATCATGGAAGTGAATCCCAGCTGCTTGATTTGGAAGAAATGGCATGTGTAGCTAGCTTCATACAAACCAGAAGTTAACTAAAAAAACAAAAAACGTATCAGTTTTTTGTATTTCTGTTTGAGAAATGTCTTGAATGTTCTGTTACTTACCGGGGGGGGGGGTATTTTTTTCAGTTACTGAGCATAGCCTAGCTTTCTCCTTGTTGCTGCACTTTTCTCTAGGACAGTAAACCCTCAAATAAATCTCTTGATCATTTTTGTATTTTAGGAGATCATTTCTATAAACGTAACAAGAATTTGCCCCCAGAAGAACAGATGATCTCAGCGCTACCAGATATCAAGGTGCTGACAATCAACGATGACCATGATTTTATGGTCATTGCCTGTGATGGCATCTGGTAGGTGGAAATTGAGCTTTGGGGTAGACAAGAATCCTTGCTATGGTACTCAGCTGAAGCTTAATTTCTTTCAATATACTTGGGAGGTAGAGAGTGCTGATAACTTGTACCAAGTCAAGACCTGGAAGGGACTATAATTGCAAAGCTGAGGGCAGGTCGATGTAATTGTAAGCTAATCTTCCATTTATTTTTCATGATCTCTCTCTTTTGCTCCTAATCCAGGAATGTCATGAGCAGCCAAGAGGTTGTGGATTTTGTTCAATCCAAGATCACACAGAAGGGTGAAGATGGAGAGTTGCGATCTCTTTCATCTATAGTAGAAGAAGTGAGTTGGAGACTGGGAGACATGACAGTTGAAATTAAGTATAGGAATATTTCTATAGTATATGGGGAAAAAAATTCAACTCTCAGGTTTAGCAGATTTTTTTTAGGCTACAAGATGAGAGTTCTATTTGATATAGTAAGATTGCCAGGAGAAACGATCTCTTTGGGGCTCCAAACAGTTTCTCATTGAAAGTACCTAAGGACTAGATCTTGGAATGCACCAGGCATGCACTGTTTACTGACTGGGTCCCAATTGATTTAGCCTGGGGAGCAGTCACCTGTCTTGATAACAAATTATCTTCAGGAACTGAAAAACGTTACAGGGTAATCATTAGGTTTGTAGTCCACTTCTAGCAAATCTTGTTTGGTTTACACAAAGATTCCTTCCTGCACGTCTATTTTCAGATTACTGGCAGGTATCTGAAACCATCAGACTATTAATAATAATATTTAAATTTATATTTAAATTTATATACCGCCCTTCTCCCGAAGGACTCAGAGCGGTGAACAGCCGTAGATAAAAAACATAGAATACAAAATTTAAAAATAATTTAAAAAATATATTAAGCAATTTGGCCCAACAGTTAAAATCCCCCATTTAAAATTCAAATTTAAAATTACACCATTAGAGAGATAGGCCAGCCTGGCTTAATGAAATAAAAAAGTTTTGAGGGCCCGACGGAAAGTATGTAGATCCGGAATCGTCCGTATCTCCAGAGGGAGCTCGTTCCAGAGGGCAGGTGCTCCCACAGAGAAAGCTCTCCCCCTGGGGGCCGCCAGCTGACATTGTTTGGCCGACGGCACTCGGAGGAGCCCCTCTCTGTGGGAGCGTACTGGCCGATGGGAGGCGCTCGGTGGCAGAAGGCGGTCTTGTAAGTATCCAGGTCCTAAGCCATGGAGCGCTCTAAAGGTAGTCACCAACACCTTGAATCGCACCCAGAGGACCACTGGGAGCCAGTGCAGCTCACGCAGGAGAGGTGTTACATGGGAGCGCCATGACGCTCCCATAATCACCCGCGCGGCCGCATTCTGGAACCAGTTGGAGCCTCCGGGCGCTCTTCAAGGGGAGCCCCATGTAGAGAGCGTTACAGTAGTCCAGGCGGGAAGTGACGAGAGCATGAGTGACCGTGCGCAAGGAGTCCCAAACCAGAAAGGGACGCAACTGGCGAATCAGGCGAACCTGATAGAAAGCCCCCTTGGCCACAGCTGTCACATGTTCTTCTAAAGACAGCCGTGCATCCAGGAGGACACCCAAGTTGCGAGCCCTCTCCGTGTGGGCCAGCGACTCGCCCCCAATAGTCAGAGATGGCACCCACTGACTATATTGGGACGCCGGGAGCCACAGCCACTGGGTCTTGGATGGGTTGAGCTTGAGCCGGTTTCTCCCCATCCAGATCGGCCTCCAGACACCAGGACATCACGTCTGATATTTCTCTGTTCTTCGGGTTTAATGAGTATATGGCGGAAGCTGAATTTCATGCTGAATTCATTCTCTGGTTTTTGTCTAAACAGCTCCTAGATCGTTGTTTGGCTCCTGACACATCTGGTGATGGAACAGGCTGTGACAACATGACTTGTATCATCATCTCTTTTAAACCACACATCAATCAAGGCTCCCCTGCTGAGAGCAGCAAACGGAAAATGGAGGATAGCACAACAACTAGTCCCACAGAAGAGGGTTGTAGCAAGAAGGCCCGACAGGACTAGCAGCCAAGTTGGGTAGGGAATTGCCCATGCTCTCACTGGACTCTTGTTTTCTAAACAAAGCTGAACTTTTGATGCCTGTTTTAGGCTTTTATTATCCTTAGGGAGGCCCATTTTGTCTTTATTATTTGGAGGGGGAAAAGGGATTCAGGGTGGGTCCCATTGGTCTTTGAAACCATTCCAAAGAGTGAATGGCAGGAAGGGTCATAATCTGACCAAAGCCCAGAAGGCAGTCTACCTGCTCAAACACTCTGTCACACACACACACACACACACACACACACACACACAGAGAGAGAGAGAGAGAGAGAGACCACTGCAGCGTCTCTGTATGGTTGTTGCCATTTCCGTGCCTGTGATTTTTCTGTTGGCAGGAAGCAGTTTTACAATGTGGAGATTTCAGAGCTGCAGTTCTATTTAAGGCCTCCACTTTTTTTTTTAATTTGTGGGACTGATTGCCATACCCCCCCACCCCATGGCTACCAAGCCCCAACTCTGTGTCATTCATTTTCAACTGAGATTTTTTTCAAACTAAAAACTAAAACTCTTTATCAGTGACTGTGTACTTTTGTAAAATTGTGAGGGAAGTAAGATGAACTGAACTATTATGTAATTCATTGATTCTGTTGTCTCTTCCCTTTTCTTGCTCATTCCAGTTTCTTCCCAATTCCAAATCCTTTCCCACTGTGAGTTCCATGCCTATGACTTGCAAGGTCTTATTCTGCCCAAGCAAACTAGGACCAACCACACCTTGTCTTGTCCGTGGAAACTTTTATCTAAACCTTTATGATTTCCCCAGGAAAAGACCGATGCCCCCAATTCAGTTTTTGGGTTTTTTTGTAGAAAAGTAGGATTCTTTTCTCTGAATATAGGGGAACCTAAATTTAGCCGCATGGTTTTTATTAAGACTTGAGTGCAACCCTGTAGGCCATGAAATATAGCACTCTTATTTTACAGTCATAAATTTCAATTTGAAGTTGAAAAAAAAGTGGGAATTGGAAGCCTTTGAGAGACAAACCTTTGGCTTCCATTACCACCCTTAAAACTCCCCAAACATGAAAACAAGTTGGGCACCATTATTTTAGCCTCCCGCAAATGAGCCAAAATTGCGGATGTCACTGGAATAGCTCTTCCAGCAGGTTTGCCCTTTTTTCCAAGATGCTTTTTTTATAACTGTCTTTTCCCATTTTGTTGCATCTATTGTTCCTACACCATAGATTTGTATAAGGCTAACCCAAAGTTGATTTTCAACCTTTTTTGCCTCATTCCTATGGAATATAGGATTATAATACTACCAGACATTGAAGGTCCTTTGGTTTCAATATTGAGGTGAAAATTTAATAATCTTTAATTACTTGCTACTTTAAGTGCTGCTGTTCCAGTAGATTTCTGAGGAATTCCTCAAGCGATCACTCAGATAAAACTAGCATGTTTTAAGGTTTCAGGAATTTCATAGGAGCTTATTTTATAATAATGGCTTTAATAGCAAGTCTCCTGTGGGACTTGTTATAAAGTAATCCACAATGTAGTCCAGAATCTCTCATAAATTCTAGGTTGGCTGCATGTGCATCCTTTTTCCTCCTACCCATACGCCCTTTCTTTGATTCTCTGAAATTGGCATTAGGCTTTCACTTGAAGGTTTTCCAGTTTCCCCAAATCTCGATCTTCATCCAGAAGATTAACATATGTAGCTATCTTATCACAACTGAAACTCTGGCCTATTTAGATCAGTGCTTTCACCTCCACAAGTACTCTGCTCAAAGTGGTTACTTAAAATCATTTAATCAGAGGTAGGAAATCTATGATTCAGGAGATCTAATCCATATGGCCAATTATGAGCGATGCTTGAAGTTGTAATTCAACATCTGGAAGATGAGAGGTTTCCCAAGCCTCCTTTAATGTGAATCTGGCCTCACACGTGTTCTCTCAGTGGTTGTTCAGCAGTTTAGCCCCATCTAACTTCTTCCCACCGCCTAAGTAGATAACGCATGGAGTTCCATCCCTAGATATTAAAAAGGGAGGATCCATTAGACTCCTCTGATAGCTGCTATTTATTATCTTGAAGCACCAAAGGTCTTAATCAAGTGGAAGGCAGAATGGGGGCTAAAGATGCCAAGTGTTTGGGTAACAGAAGTGAGCAGTGATGACTCTTGCATGGGCTGTAGACAGACTTGACTTTCAAGCTAGGAGAGCTTGGATCTTCTGTCCATGGTTGCTTCTGTGTGTTAAGTTGCTTTACTCTGTCATCACTCCTGCCAAACTGCAGCCATCACTTGTATAGGCGAGCGAATCTGCTGAAAAGCTGTGGCCTGATGCAGCACTACAGAGACTGTGCTCACCAGCAGCATGTGGCTGAGTTTCAATCTCCACTTCCACTTCCACCATATTCATGCCATCCCTGCACAGGAGAAGAACAGCGCTACTTGTGAACCGGGTGGAATATGGGTCAGAAAAACAGGGTAGAGAGTTATCATTCACAATATTGCACTATAAGACAAACTGGGAAGAAGAGTATATGTTTTTGTGTTTCTTCCCTCTGCGCTATTGTATTGTTTCTGAACTGAAAACAAAAATGAGGATGTCTGCCATGACTGACAAACTGGAGGTAGCAGTGAGATGGAGCCTCTCCCAAACTGGACGTGCAACAGCCCAATAAAGCAGAGCTCAGCCAACACTGCTTGTTCGATAGGTCTTCCTTCCCCACTCTTCTGTTCCATCCAGAGATTACTTATAGGGAATAACTTTGTTTGGGGTGCCCTCCAATCCCTCCAAGTCCACTAGACTGACCTGTGAAAAGTTTCTTGAGCTTCACTCAGCATGCTGCCTGCCAAGGCTACAGTGCTGGCAGATTTGCTTTTCCGATCTTTTTGGCATGGCTCTTCATATTGGCTGTTACTTGAATGGGGGATGGAAGCAGAAGCCCCCTTCTCAGGCACCATGGGGGTAGGCAGCACAGCCAGCAGTTCGTTCACTGGTATGAAGAAAGAAAGGGTAAATATGGCAGCATCCCCTTTCTTGGCATCAAGAAATATCTTCACATATCTAGGTAGCCTCTGCAGGGTTTCCTTAATGGAAATGTTGATCCCATAAAACCTAATAAAATAAAACTGTCTGCAAGTGCAGAGATTGAGCAAAATTTTCAAATGGTACTAGAACAAAAACGAGGAACAAAAGGGTTTATTGTCACACAGTTTTTAAAAAGCTCATAAATTCTGAATATTAAATGTCAGTTTTAGAAAGCTGCTCTGTTGTGGTATTTCCCATTTTGTTACTACTCATATCTTTTAGCAATTGGAGACAATACGAGTATGAGATACTCGTATCTGTAGCTATTATACAAAGGGAGAAATGCAAAAGTTAGGGGAATTCCTGAGATGTTCCTTGATTATTTGAAATAATTAAAAAGAGAATCACTTCTGAGTTTTCTGGGACAATTAGAAAAAATGGCATTTTAAGAATCCTTGCTGTGTAATCAAATGGATCAGTTAAACTGATTTTCATACAAAGCCATCAGAGCTGTCAAGACTGGAAACGGGCAAGGGATGGAACTCAGTGGGAATGATAACACTATGACATTTCTGAAAGTACCGAATAATACCAGCTATATAAAAAAACATAGGCAAATAATGTCAAAGAATTGAGAGCTGGGTGGCTTTCATTCATTGATAACTAAATTTTATAGGAACAGACCACCGGAAGTCCAGATAGGAAGCGTTCTTCCATAAACAAAACCAAACAAGATATTCCATTACCAGAATGGCTGCAAAACTTAAGATATTGTTCCAATGTAATACTATTGGAACCTAGATGTAATCCCAAGCCATGCGGGTTCAGAAACAATGGACTGCTGTATCTGCCATTGTAGACTCTTCTCCCACACTTCAAAGCGAGACATCAACTTTCTAATGGCAAAATTAGAATAAGTTATTTTATGGAAGGAGGCTTAAAGGGCAAAGCAAGAATATATTAAATGAGAGCCACTTGTGATGCATCCCTCCCCTGGACTGAACTACTTTGCCTCTCTGACTTCAGCACAACTCACAACAACTCACGTACATTTGGCGAGGTTCTCCAGTTCCATTGTGCTGAGCTCCCCAGCTTTCTTTCGGGAGCTTCCACACGCCCAGCGATTCCGGCACAGAGAGAGTACAACGACCCCATACACGTAGGTGAGCATCAGGGGCACGCCCACCCCTGCAGGCAAAGAGCCTGTTATAAGAACCATATCTGTTCAAGGACTGTTCATGCAGCCATGCAATTCACGAAGGGCAGAAGATTTCCCTTTCAGTACGAAAGCAAAAAAAACCCTTGTGGATCCACACGCACCCTCCCATCTTGGTCTCCTTGTGGCTCTTACCAACAGTGACAGCTGTGATGACAGGGGACACAAAGATTGAGAGGAGAATGCTGCTGGCAACAGAAAGACACTGCTGGCAGCCTGACAGTTTGCTCTTCCGCCCATGGCTCAAAACCTGGAGGAAAAAAAAGAATAAGAGATTCCCAGAAAAAAACTACTTTTTAATTTGGCCCGAGCTGCATTTCCCATGAGCCAACGAGAACATCCTGTGCACATTTTAGGGGCCTCTGTGATTATGAAATGGCATGGCCTCCATGCAAGTCTCCTTACCTTCTTCCCTGTGTAAATGGGTATGCCCAGGGTGATTACCGGCACTGCAATGCCAGCAACAATTGAGATCACCATTGGGGCACCCAACACCATGCCCAGCTGCCATAGGAGCTTCCGGGTTCGAGACCAGGGCTTCTTTCCCCAAAAGGTGCAACCAGAAGGACTGAGGAGAAAACAGGAATCCGTTATGAAAACGGGGACATTCAAAAGTACAAACTGCAGATACCCTTAAGTTTTCCTGTTAGTTAACACAGGGCTTGCTACAATGCATTTCCAAAGCGGTTTTTGCAGTGTCAAAAATCAGGAAGTTGGATTGGAACTTCTGAAAACCAAAGTCCCTTTCCCAGAATTAAACACACACTCGTGAAATCTACTACTGTTGCTCCCTAACCTCCACTGGACTTGATGTAGCCCAATCTCTTTGCATTCAGTATGTACAAGATGTGGATCTCACTCATCTAGAGAGAAGTATAAAGCTTATTATTTCAGAAGTTCAAGGCTTTCTGAAATTCTTAGTTCATAAAATATTCTTAACCTGCTGCCAGTAGTTTTTTATTTATTTGTTCTCAGAATTCTATTAAAGTTGTTATCCACTTGACTGTTTTTGATATACTCAACTTTGTTGTAAATGTCTATGTCACTATGCGACTTTCTATGGTACAATAGTGATAGGTAAGTTTAATGTATGGCATATTTATAAACATAACTTTATATTAATTTTATTAAAATTGTAAGATGAAAGATTAAAAACTAAGGCATTTAGAAGAAAAAGATAAGAAAAAATAAGGGAAATAAGAACTAAGCCAAAAGTGCAGGAGATAATAAGTATAAAGAAATGACTTCCAATTTTCTTTTACAACAGTTAGAGGTAAATTAACCTCTTACTCTATGTTTATAATATTTTTATTTTTAAAATGGTATG